GAACTCCAAAACCCTGCAGTGGGAGATGGAAAGATTGGGCATTGGCCTTGACACCTCTGAAGTCTTTTCTAACTGGCCCTGACGGCCTTCTCAGAGACTTTAGCCCCTGATGGGTGCCCAGGATGACAAGGGAAGGGTGAAGCACCTTGTGGAAGGGATCAACTCTGTGGGCTTTGAAGGACTTTAAGGCCTGTTTGTTCCAAAGTTCACAGCCCATCTGACTGAGCAGGTACTTCCATTCCTTTCTCCACTACTCTTGCCTTCACAAGACTGCAGGGGTTAACACAGAATAGAGAAGGGTGAAGAAGCTTATGGGGACGGTCAAAGATTCCTCTGTGCCAGGAAGCACAAAGACTTTGGTGAGGTGTGCCTCAGTTCAGTTGATCTTCCTTGGCAGCCAGCAATATGTTTCTTCGTCTTCCAGGTCCTAGTTCAAGGGCACGGAGGAAATAGAGGGTCCTAGTCTAGGTAGGAACTGAGCTTGGATGGTGGGACGGGACTTCACCATTCTCCAGCAGCAGGATGGAGCTCCTGGGCTCTACACATGGGATGGTTTGGTTTGCTACAACTCTTGCCAAGTGCAGAGACTGCTCAAGGTTTGGAATGAGAGCAGGGAAGGAGCCAAGGCTATTCCTTGAAATGGATGGGGAAAGTAAAAAATTTTCACCAGGTACATCACAGGCTTAAATCACCTTCGGGACCTCTCCAATCTGTTGGATCACAGACTCAGGATCTGTGTATGGTGCCCAGAGAAACCCAAGTCTTCCCGTGCCAGATGGGAGAGCTCTCGGCTTGGGTTCTTTGTACAGGGTCTGCTATCCTTTGCCATCCCCTGGACTGTATCAACTCTTGGGACAAACCATGATGAGGTCTGTCACCATACCTTTTCTAATCATTCTCTTTATCGTTTTTATTTTCAAATCTGTTAGCAGTTATCTCTCAGCAGTATCCCCAGCATTCTGAAACCCATAGTGCTGAGACAGGGCACGCACGAGTGGAGGGAAAAAGAGAGAATACAAGAGTTAACCCTGCAGCAGAGTTCCAGGGGAGATGCTGACCAGTTACTGAACTTGGACTGTGAAGTCTTCCCATTTGTTTTTGAAATGGGAGTTGATGCCTTTTGTACAATGTTATCAAAGTGTATTCTTCCCCCCCCCCTTTACGCAAACATAAAGCATCAAAATAAGAATCACAAGTAAAAGCCAAACCCTAGCTTTTCATTGGGGCTGATATCTTCCTCTTCTGTGACCTGGTGCCCCTCATATTCCCCAGCATTTGGACTGTGTCACATGGGTATTGATTGTATTGTCATTTTCTTGGCCTCATGAGAAAAGGCCTGGGCCTGGATCTAATCAGACGGATTTTCTTCTTGAGAGCATGTTGATGGCACAGTACCTATTTAAATGTCTTTGCCTTATACATTATTTGGTCCCTCTGTTAATAACAGATTTATTATCATGTATATTTACTATTGAAGAATGGGAATGTGATCCTCATAGTTATTGATCTATTTTGTATGTTGTAAAAAGCTTGTAATATAGATTTAAGGTGGGCTGGCTGCAAGAGCACTAAAACTTCTCACCTTTTAAACTGCTCTTTTTATCTGCTTGTGGGAATGTCGTCTCCAGTGGAAGATTGGGTGGTCTCATGTTGAGACTCTTGCCCAGTCCCATTAACCCCCTTATTCCCTCCCAGAAGGAAGAGACATTGCCCAACTAAGCATCAGGAAGCTGTGTTATAAGCCCTTGTGTGGGTTTGGTTTTATGATGTTTTTCTCTAGTGGGAAAAACTTAATTGTTTCTTTCCACCCTTTCTGGGAAGCAGAGCAGTGGCTTCCAGATTTTTAAATGAGGTAGATGCCCCTCTTCCCCCCTCTTCTTTGGTCACCAAACTTGGATCAAATCACTTTGATATTCCAGGTGTGGTTTTTCTGTTGTGAGGATTTCCTTCAGCTGCAGAGCCCCATCATCCTCACAGTCGGGCTCCCAGAGGAGGGCGCTTAGGGCTACCCAGCCTGATGGATGTGAGGCTGCTTGTCTCCAGAAATGCATCCCAGCCCTCCCAACTGGCCAAGGCAAGGAGACTAGCCACTGGCCATTGCACTGGGGGCATCCCCTCACCTCACAGCTTCCCAACTTGAAATCCAGATTTACCTCCAGGGAGAGGTGAGAAAAAATTGTAAATAGACTTGCTACAGAGCAACTCAGGGTTGGGGTGTGTTTTAATTCTCCTGATCACTTGAAATAATCTGTAGGCTGAGTGCTTATGGGAGTGGGGGAAAAATGTGACTCCAGGGTCCTTTCCTTCTGCAAAGCTCTGGGGGTGGAGTATAGGGCATCTGAGGCCCTTTGATGGCACTACACTGAGCTGTCTGTCCTTCTGGAAACCCAACCTAAAATCAACTGTAAATCCAATTCTTCACATTCCAGTTGTAGCTTTTCTTTCCCTACTGAATCTCAGTCCCTGGCAATGTGGTCAAAGTGGCTTTCTGTAAGCCACCCTAATTTAGGGAATGGAAGGCATTACAACTCTGCCTTCAAGACTCATCTCTTAAAAGCAAAATGAAACAAAACTACAGCCACCTTCAAAACACATACAAAAAGAAGGATAACTTGTAACTGAAGGAAGGATTTGGTTCCATTCAACTCCACCGTCATTGTGCCTTTACTTGTGTTAGATTTCTGTGCTTTCTTCCTCTCTCTCTTTGAAGCAATTAAAATCTTCCTTGATAACTGTTTCCTTCTTTCTACTCTTGTTTCTAACAACTTAGTGGGTTTCCTCTCTAATTGTCTTAAATCTCATTCCACTGGTGGCAGAGGGGCCAAGCCTTCTTTTCTTATGTCTAACCTTTGTCCTTTCCCACGGACCAGCATGGAAGTCCTAGTCAACACTGAATAAAAGACTAGAGTGACGTGTGCAGAGTGTGTGTGTGTGGGTGTGTGTGTGTGTGGGTGGTGTGTGTGTGTCCATCTTTGCATGTGGATCAGTTTATTTTCTTTAAAAATAATTTATTGTATGATTTATTTTGGAGTTATATTCCAATTGCAGTGCTCCCTCCCAATAAGCAGTGATTCCTCTCCCCCCCCCACCCCTCTACAATGTATAATCTGGTCTCAGGTTGGATTCTTTGGTACATTTCTTTCTTCTGGATGCCGTGCAGTTTAATTAAACCTTGCTTAAAAAGAAGAACCAAAACCTGACAACTGTGTACTCTTGTCTGGAACACCGCCTCCAGTGGTGGCATAGGGAGGGGAGAATATCTGTTGCTTCTGGTGAGTGTAGTGGTTTGACTCTAGAACCTCTAAGAAGGTAGCTACACTGACTTGGGCAGAAGCATCTGCAGCTTCCCAGGGGTCTTCCCTCCTCCCTTCCTGCTGTGTTTTGAATATCATAGTTCTCATTAACCATGCTCACCTGGGTGACTCTGGTAGTTTTGGTCATTTATGTTTACCACCTACCTTCCCGATGCCCATGATTTCAGGGGACCCAGGAGACGCTCTGGCCTTGTGTCCTCTCCTCACATCTCTTAGGATTCTTTTCTACCTGTGTTGCATGGCAGATTGTCCCACTGAGGTATGGGAGAAAAGGTGGGGGCAGCACAGACAGACTGTGTTTATTTTTATTGTGGGTGTTGGCTTTTTTTCTTTTCCGCTTTTTAAGTTGCAATCTTGGCTGGCTTTCTTGAACTTTGACTTGGGGTGTAAAAACTGAGCCAGACATTCTCTGCTTACTGTGGTCAGCTGACATAATCATAACTAAGATTTAATGAGCTCACCTTGCAGTTTCATCACTAGGAAAGGTCTTGAAATTATTTCCCATACTGATTCATAATGGGTGTGTGTATGAATCACTTTCACATAATTTAGATATAAAAACCTATGAGAGGGAGGGGGGAAAGGCCTCCTTTCATTTCATCCATACTTGCCAGACTGGCTGAATCCCTGATTATTGTTATTAATCTGATTAATAAACTACCTATTTATTGATTTAATTGTTCCTCCTGTGACTTTAGCCCTCAAATGGAGCTTGCCTGAATGACCCTCAACTTCCTAAACCTGTAAGGTTTCTCTCTCCTATTGGGGTGCTATTGCTAGTTTGTGTGTGTGTGCGTGCGTGCGTGCGCACACACAAGAGGGATATTGGAACAGGTCCTTCCAGGGTGATTTGATTCCTTCCCTCATGATACTGTGTATCAGTTAGCAGGTGATAAGGACACTACTCTCATTATTACTGAGACACAGCTGCTTACTGTGTTCCTGTTTTAAGTATTTCCTGCCCCAGCACAACCACAAACTGACTCTGAAGCTGCAAGGATGCTGCCTGTCTCTGACTTCCTATTACTCCGCAGACAGAGGTAAGACAACCAAAATGTCAACCTCAGGATCCTGACCACCCCAGAGGATAACTACAGAGAAACGCTTCACATCTGACATCACTGGAGCCCAGTCTGGATTGCTTTTACACGTAATTGAATTCATTTTCCACTCCTAGGTTTAGGGGTATGAGATCTAAAGGACTATGTGCTCTACAGCCACAAAATGTTCATGAAAATGTGGAAATTCATTTGGCAGGGATGTCCTCTCCATTCTTGCAGCAGGCATTTATTGCTTACTTTACTCTGTGCCAGGCACCTGCAATATGAAGATGAATAGGACTGGTCTTTGCCTCCAAGGAGCTCAGAGTCTAGTAGAACACTTCAGGGCGGCTACCAAGAGAAACCTATGTAGGTTATTAGAAGGCTTTATGGCAGTTAGCCCGGGAAGGCGGATGGTGTGTGGCCTTCCAGACAGAGGAGAGAGCAAGGACAGAGGCCCAGAAGCAAGACACAGTCTGGTGGCATGTGCAGTGTGTTCCTGTAGTATCAGAAAGGGAGAGCATCATGTAGGTAACCTGATAGAAACCTTTCAATCCGGACCTTCTGTGATTTTCTGCCTGCTTCCACAGTGGTCGTCTAATCTTGTGGGCTTACCCTGGAGCAGTGCTTTTCTTCCTGGTGAGTGTTTTCATAGGCTCCAGGATGAATACTAAGTACTCATTGCTTCCTGGGCTCCCTCTAGCCCACTGTAACCGAGGGAGGTTTTCACCACTATCCCTTAAAGCTGGCTGGACACACGTTACCACTTCAAGTTATGAAGGATGTTTTTTAGGTGCCCAGATTATCAAAATACATGAACAGTGAAGACTGCTTCCTGGGTTCTGTTGCTCTATTAAGAGATCAGAAATGCCATCTGGTTGAAAAGCCTCCATTCTATGGGAACACTTTTCCCATTCACAGCAGCTAATCTCTGTTGTAGTTTTCAGCTCCTAGAGAGCCTTCCCAAAATGTGCTCCTCACCGTCTCTTCCTATTTATTTTTAAAACTTTATCTAAGTGATCTCTATACCCCGCATGAGGCTTGGACGCACAACCCTGAAATCAAGAGTCACATGCTCTTCTGACTGAGCCAGCCGGGAGCCCCCATCTCTTCCTATATAGAAGTGTACAGAAGGCTTCCTATTTAGGACCTGCATCTAATATTTCCTCCTCCTATGTTTAAGTGGTCAAGTGTTGGAGCTCCTGTCAGACTTCCTGAGTTCAAATGCCAGTTCTTCCACTTACTGGTTGTGTGACCTGGGGCAAATTTAACCCCCCTATTTCAGTTTCCTCATTTGCAAAATGAAAATAATACCAACTTCATGCAGTGCTTGTGAGAATTAATAAGGTGATATAGGTAAAATACTTGAGCTCAGTGCCTGGCATTACTTGAACACTCAGTATTTGCTCTTACCTCCTGTATGAACTAACCACAATTAACTGGCAATTGTAATAGTGTTATTTTCCTATTTCTCAGCTTCATTGTTCTCTTTCATTTGAAACTGACGGATGAAAGTTAAATGCTTGCCATCACCTAGAATTGGGTTTTGGCCTTCAAGGGAACCTGAGGCTTGGCTAGGTTATTAGCTTTGGAGGCTGGCCTGTAAATTACTGCTCTAATTTATATTTTTCATTAAAAGCTCAGCTTGCCTCTTCTTCTATAGTGGTCTTTCCTGGCCCTGAAACCCTAGTGTTTAGCCATAAAACAAGGTTTTAAAATTAAGAGGCCATAATTCTCTCAACTCCCCACAATGTGTGGATTAATGGAATTAATGATAAGAAGGTGCACAGAATATTATTTTTAACAAAAGCAAAGACCTGACCCTATTACCTTTGAAACACAAATCAGGGAGATACTGTGATGAAGTGTAGTGTATTTCTTTATGTATGTGTAGAACTTGACAAAAAAACGCTGGGTGTCAGGAAATCTGGGTCCTAGGCTCTTCACTGCCACCAAGATGCTATGACCTCTAATTAACCCTCCACATGTTGGCTTTGTGAGTTTTGCAGGGTTGAACATGAGGTAAATAAGTGCCTAGTATTCTGCCTGGCACCCAGAACCGCCCCCCAAATGATAGATGTTACGTAGTAGCTCACTGAACATGTATCCCATTAGGGTAATGAAAATGGATACATTTGGCCGCCAGAAGGGGCAACCACATCTCTGCACCTCCCGTGGAAAGAAGGGCGTGGAAACAGAGTCGCGTGAGCTAAGACTACAACTCCCGCTGCCCTTTGCGGCAAGCCTGGTTCGCCTTACCCAGAATCGCTCCCTCCGCAACCTTGCGTCTTTCCGCGGAGGCCCCGGATGTAGAAGCCCTCTTAGTTCAGTGGGCGTGGCTTTACAATGGCTCGGAGACCTGGGGCTCTCTTATTGGTTGTGGTTCTTCCGACCGGATTGGACGCGAAGGAGGGGGCGTTGGCCAAGGCGCGCGGTGCTCTAGCGACAGCCAATCAGAAACCTGGTCGGCCTTTGGCGGGAGGCGGTAAAGCTGAGGCTTTGCAGATTTGGCGCGAGCGCGGCTGGGCTTTACTGACGCTGGTGTGTGGTTTATTCGGTAGCTTGACCTGAAGAATCCCTGAAGCCGTGTGCGAGACACGTGAGGAAGAGCCGGTACTGAGGTGACTCAGCCTTGTGAGGTGGAGAGCAGAGGCTTGCTCGGGGAGGCCCTGGGTCTGGGAGGCTGCGGAGTTGGGAGAAAGGCTATGGCAAGGGCCGCTGCCTCCCTTGAGGCCCGAGGTGAAGTGAGGGGAGAAGAGCTCAGATCGCCGGAGGTCTGAGGTCGGGGTAAGGGAAAGGAGTAGGCTGGCAGTCGTGCGTGGAATAAAGGGGCTGAATGTTGTAGGAGGGAGATGTTCCGGGGTGGGGTTGAGAGGGTGTGGGGTGGGGACCGAGTGCCGGGCGGACGGAAGACTAAACGTGGCAGGCTGCTGGGCCAAGCTAGTGATAAAGACACACCCCGTGCCTGGAGTGAGGGAATTAGCAGTACTGTAGAAATCTGTTAAGATAAACTTACTGCATCACTCAAGTGGTTAAGAACTTGAGTTCTGGAGCCAGAATGCCTGGTTTGCTATGACTTTGGGCCTCTGTACCTCTGAGTTTTCTCATCTGTAAAATAAGGATAATAAGAGTGCTGACCTCCAGGGTAGTTGTAAAACTTAAATGAGTCAGTGCCTAAGGGGCGCCGGGGCTGGCTCAGTCGGTAGAGCGTGCCACTCATGAACTGGGGTGGGGGTGGGGGTGGGGGTGTCGTGAGTTCGAGCCCCAGGTAGGGTGTAGAGATTCCTTTAAAAAAAAAAAGAATAAAAGTAAAATGCTTATAACAACAGTCTTACACATAGTAGGTAGACAATAAGTGTTTGTTATTATTGCTCAGATTTGGCTGTGAAGCAGAACTGAATGCTAAAATATTGTTATAATTTACTTATGAAATGTTGATCATTGGTATAAATTCCATGTTAGCTATTTTTACTTCATTCTTAGCTATTGACTGGCTGTCCTGTTCTTTTTTTTGCACCCAGCCGTGTTGCCATCATGCCTCAAACCCGATCCCAGTCACAGGCTACAATCAGTTTTCCAAAAAAGAAGCTGTCTCGGACATTGGACAAAGCTAAAAACTCTGCTGACACCAAACTAGAACTGACCTGTGTCCAGGCCACCCACCGTTCTAATGTAAAAATTCTGCCTCTCAGCCCCAGAAAACGTCTGGGTAAGCTATCCATTGAATATATAAGTACAACTTTTTGGCTGGTAGCTGTTGACCTCTCTTTTCTCAATAATAAGATGCCTAGTCCTTTGAAGAAGCTTCCTAAGTTCAGTTAAAACCACTTTGTTCACTTTGGTTATTTTCAGAATGATTGCTGTGTTCATTTACTGAACTTCAGAGTTAAGCCACTTGTTGAGATCACTTTCTGAACTGCTTCACAGTTCTGGTGTTCAATTCCGTAATTTTGAACTTAGTTCTGTCAGTATTGTAAGTGACTTTGCAGTTAGCTACCTAGTATTTTGAAGCTTTCACCTCAGTGGTGAAATTAAGAGAAGCAGGTGATATTCTTGTTTTAGAACACTGGTTTTAGATCATTTGTTTTTGTTTTTAAAGATTTTATTTATTGTTATCAGAGAGAGAGAGAGAGAACAAGCACAAGCAGGGGTGAGGAGCAGAGGGAGAAGCAGACTCTGGGAGCCCAATGGGGACTCAGTCCCAGGACCCTGGGATCATGACCTGAGCTGAAGGCAGACGCTTAACCAACTGAGCCACCCAGGCGCCCAGATCATTTGCTTTTAATGAAGGGTGATGTGGCAGTATCTGAAGACATTTTTGATTGTCACAACTGAGGGAGTGCTACTGGCATAGTGGATAAAGGCCAGGGATACTGCTGAACATTTTACAATGCACAGGACAGCCCCCAATAAGAATTATTTGGTCCAAGATTTCAATGATGCCAAGATTGAGAAACACGGTTTTAGAACAATCTTAGAATTTTCATCTCACTAGACCATTTTGCTTTCTACCAAATAGTTGTAAGATTCAGTGGTGCCATCTGGTGGCCAATATTTGCTTCTTGATGAGAGGCATTCTATTTTGGTGGTTTTGACTATAGAAATTTGCCTCTTGGGGGACCTGGGTGGCTCAGTCGCTTAAGAGTCTGTCTTAGGCTCCAGTCATTATCCTGGGGTCCTGGGATCAAGCCCCACGTGGGGCTCCCTGCTCAGCTGGGAGCCTGCTTCTCCCTCTTTCTCTGCCTCACCCCCTTGTTTATGTTCTTTCTCTCAAATAAATAAATAAAATCTTAAAAAAAAAGAAAGAAAGAAAGAAAGAAAGAAATTTGCCTCTTTCTGGGAAAAGCAGAGATCTTTGCAAGTCCTTTTACTGTCCACTACTACGAATGACGATGTTTTGATTTTAATATATTTCAGGTGATGACAATCTGTGTAACACTCCCCATTTACCACCCTGTTCTCCACCAAAGCAAGGCAAGAAAGAGAATGGCCCCCCTTGCTCACGTTCACCTAAGGGGCGCAGATTGGTATTTGACAATCAGCTGACAACTAAGTCTCCTAGCCAAAGAGAACAAGCCAGAGCTCCCCAAAACAAAATCCATTCCTCAGTTCGAAAAGGTCAAGAGATCACAACAAATTCTGAGCAGAGATGTCCACTGGAGAAAGAATCTGCATGTGTGAGACTGTTCAAGCAAGAAGGTTCGTTCTTACATGGCAGCCGTTAATGTAGCCTTGAAAACAAGGCTGGTGACTCCAAATGAAACCCAGTGGATCTTCTCAGTCACCTCTGTTGTATCTAATTGTCCTTTCACATCTGACACAGGCACTTGCTACCAGCAAGCAAAGCTGGTCCTGAATACAGCTGTCCCGGATCGGCTGCCTGCCAGGGAAAAGGAGATGAATGTCATCAGGAATTTCCTGAGGGAGCACATCTGTGGGAAAAAAGCTGGAAGCCTTTATCTTTCTGGTGCTCCTGGAACTGGAAAAACAGCCTGCTTAAGCCGAATTCTGCAAGACCTCAAGGTACACTAAGAGTCTGAAATATGATGCTCTTGCTAAAATGACACTTGGTTATTAAGGGTTAAGAAAGGTAGACTTGCTTAGGGGATTGAAGTCTCCCCTCAAATAAGATGTTTTTAGTTTCATTGTCTAAATCTTTCCAAATGAAAGTAGAGCTTATTCTCTTATATGCTCTTAATTACCCAAAGACACTTCAGGTTCCATCAAACCTTTATCTGAGGGCAAAATATCTCTCATGTTTGCATTTTTCTAGAAGGAACTGAAAGGCTTTAAAACTATCATGCTAAACTGCATGTCCTTGAGGAGTGCCCAGGCTGTATTCCCAGCTATTGCTCAGGAGATTTGTCAGGAAGAAGTATCCAGGCCAGCTGGGAAGGACATGATGAAGAAACTGGAAAACCATATGACTGCAGAGAAGGGCCCCATGATGTAAGTACTGCTCTGCTGCATGTTGTTCTGTGAAAATCTGCAAGGTCTGCTGCCCACAAACTCACATTCTCGTCTCTTGAATTTATCAGTTTGTACAAGAAAAGAACATTTCCTATATTTGCTGTACAAGAGATAGTTACATATGCTTAAAGGGAAAGAAGAGGAAAAATACACCTTCTAATTTTAAATTGGAAAAAATGTTCTTAAACTAATTGATTGAAAAACCTTTATGTTACTTTTGTGTGATGGTAGGGGTATCAGTGTAACAGTGACTGGAGAGAGGACAGATTATGACCTTGAAACTGGTGGCAGCTGTAGGAATGTGACCTGGAGTCAGTCCAGATCTAACAGATGGGAAAGTTAAGAAGGTGAACATGGATACTAATTGTTTCTCTTTATACGTAGTGTGTTGGTGCTGGACGAGGTGGATCAGTTGGACAGCAAAGGGCAGGATGTATTGTACACACTGTTCGAATGGCCATGGCTAAGCAATTCTCGATTGGTGCTGATTGGTTAGTGCTCAGTTGCTAATGTTACAGGATGGGTCTAAAGAATTCTTTTTTTAATCATCTGTTCATCTTATCCCCTATTTTATCTTAAGCCAGCTTTCCGCTTTTTTATCAAAATGAACAAATTACTATAAAGTAATAGTAGTTTTAATCTAAAATCAACTTTGTTAAGTCTGAATAGAAATGACATAATACTTCATTTCAGAGACAGTTGATTTTTGGAGTATCTGGTCTTGCTTATCAGTGAACAATTCTAAACCTAACTTGAAAAGAGCATTCTAAAATGACTTTGTACATCTCACCTAATAAATGTGGGGGTGGGGCTGGGATGGCAAGTAGGAAGCAACAGTTAGAATGCTGGATTATAACTGGAAATTGTATTCAGCTTTCAGAGGGTTTAGTTTACTTTTGAGATGATTTGACTGTGATGATTGGTAGTATTTATCTGCTCCTCAGGTATTGCTAATACCCTGGATCTCACGGACAGAGTTCTACCGAGGCTTCAAGCTAGAGAAAAATGTAAGCCTCAGCTGTTGAACTTCCCACCTTATACCAAAAATCAGATAGCCACTATCTTGCAGGATCGGCTTGATCTGGTAAGTGCCACCCATTGTACCACATTATGTGTCCCTTGGATCACCTCTGGTGGGGAAACCTAACAGTCCTTCTAAAATATTTTTGCTTAGAGGGGTGCCTGGGTGTCTCAGTCAGTTGAACATCTGACTCTTTTTTTTTTTTTTTTTTTAATTTTTTTTTTTTGAGAGAGAGAGAGAGAGAGAGCCCAAGAGGGGGTAGGGTCAGAGGGAGAAGCAGACTCCCTGCCGAGTAGGGAGCCAGATGCTGAACTCGATCCTGGGACTCTGGGATCATGACCTGAGCCGAAGGCAGTCACTTAATCAACTGAGCCACCCAGGCACCCGAGCATCTGCCTCTTGATCTCAGCTCAGGTCTTGATTTTAGGGTTCTGAGTTCATGCACCACTTTGGGGTTCACACTGGGCATAGAGACTACTTTTTTTAAAAATTATTTATTTATTTATTTTTTGCTTAGATTGCTTTCCTCAGCAGGGAGTTCTTGTGGGCCATCGTGAGAGCATTTTTATATGAATTTCCACCCAAGGCTCCATTTATTGGATGCCTCAGTGTTGGCATAAAAATAAGAGAGGAGGGGCACCTGGGTGGCTCAGTCATTTAAGCATCCCACTCGATTTCAGCTCAGGTCTTGATCTCAGAGTTATGAGTTCAAGCCCCACAGTGGGCTCCACGATGGGCAGACAGCCTACTGTTAAAAGGGGAGGGGTGGCACCTGGGTGGCTCAGTCAGTTAAGCCTCTGACTCTTGATTTCGGCTCAGGTCACCATCTCAGGTTCTTTTCTTTAAGTTTATTTTTAGTAATCTTTACACCCAATTTGGGGCTCAAGCTCACAACCCCAGGATCAAGAATCGCATGGTCTTCCGACTGCACCAGCCAGGCACCCCTCAATACTATTATAATGGCCTATAAAAATAGGGCCTGTGAAAAAACTTTCTTTTGAAAATAACCAAAGAAATTTTATTTTAGTTTAGCTTTGCTAATTTCTGATTGCCTTTTTCCCCCATTCATGAGCCTCTACCACATGCCTACAAAATATTTAAATGTGTGAAATTTCCATTTATTTATGAGCAGAAAAGGCATCTCTTGGACCCTAAGGGGAGGCCAGTCAAATTTAAACTTAATGTGAAAATATTTATGTCTGGGACCTAAATTACAGAGAGGGAGAATCTTATAGTTCATGCTGTCGTCTCCTATGTCTTGTCCAAAGGTATCTAGAGCTCAGGTTCTGGACAATGCTGCAATTCAGTTCTGTGCCCGAAAAGTCTCTGCTCTTTCAGGAGATGTTCGAAAAGCGCTAGATGTTTGCAGGTGAGTTATGGCACTGTTGGCTGCTTTTATTAAAAAAAGAAATGCATGTAACTCAAGTGAATGTGGCTTAAGAGGCTGTATTCTGCCACTTTTTACACTTGGAAAGGGGGACTTGTTTCTCAGTGGGGAGCTCTGCATTTCCACCGTGTTAATGTCTGAAACATTATCAGTCCATTACCTACAGAGGGAGGAACAAATGAGATGTTGCTGGCACTCCCTGTGGTGATTATAGATTGGTTAATTACATTTGTATTAAAAAAGACTCCAGTTTACTTTTCCATTAGCTGGTCTCAAGCAGGTTTATTTATGGACCTGAACCATCTTTGCCTTTAGACTTTTTTTCCTTCCTTTGCTTTTGTGAGCACCCCTTCCTCCGGTTGGTGGTCTCCCACACTTGTACTCCAGACCTCTCTCTCCCTTCCCATCCTCTGCCCCTCCTGCTGGGGAAAGCCTCTGTGCTGACTGATGAAATTTCTTCCTTCCCAGTAGGGACACTGGGTCCATTAAAATGATACTTGCTGTGCTGGCCCTCTGGTCCAACCTCCCCCTACTGACATGCAAAAGATCCAGGTCTGGCTTATGGCCTCCTGTGGGCAAAGTGCTTTGGAGACAGCAGTGGGAGAGTAAGCTCTTCCTATTGCTAGATGGCATCCTGGATTTGAAAGTTTCCCCTAGTCAGCAAACTACTTGAGTAAAGACTGCAGCTATGAGCAATAGTCATGTAGGCTGGTGTGGTTTAGCCTACACATAACATATGTATATAGAACTGAGGACTCCCCTTTTAGGTCCAGTGTGTATGGGTGGTACTGGCTCTCTGTAGGCAGTCACCCACCCACATAGCCTCTCTGCTATCCATGACATTTTTTCCTCCTTCAAAATGTTATTATTGGCTTAATGTATGATGACCTACTTGGCATCTATAAGAGGAAACCATATCGTGTTGAAAGTTTCTCAGATTCCCTGGCCCATGAATTATTTCAAGCTAACTAAATCCCCTTTAGCTGAGACATAACCCAGTTTTGTTTGGGGTCTTTAAAATTATAAAACATGTGTCTGTTTTTGAGCTTGGTGGTTTGGTGTGGTGTTTGGTTTGGCTCAGCCTAAATTAATTTTAGAAATTTTTTTTTATAGGAGAGCTATTGAAATTGTAGAGTCGGATGTCAAAAGCCAGACTGTCCTCAAACCGCTGTCTGAATGTAAGTAGTTTATCTCTTTCCTGTCTTCCTTTATAACTGGAAGCTTAACTTTTCTGAGGAAAGAGGTAGAAAGATGAAATGAGCATAGTTAAATCCATACTTACCCTTTTCTGTATGTCTGTGTTTTTTGTCAATTTCATCTACTTTACTTCAATCCGGCCTGTCTGTGCTATAGTCCATGCATTGCTGGAAACAACTTCCCCAGGGTGTTACATAAAAGGCTGGATCATAGTAAGTTTTCTTTCTAAGCTCTAGAAATGAAAATAGTGGATCGTAAGGCTTGATCAGCTTCTCTCTGGGTTCTTCTGTGGAGTTAACTTTAGGTCTTGATATAGGTGAGAGGAAAGTAAATAAGAGTCAGACAGTGAAAGAATCCAGTTCAACTTGGGATATCTCAAGCCTTTAGACAAATCTAGGAGGGTGGAGGTACAAAGATGATATTGCTACAGTAGGCTGTTAGAAAAATGACAAAATTATTTTCCTTTCCGTTAGCCTTGTTCTCTTAGTCATGGCAGATGTAAAATGGCCATGAACTACATATCTTGTCAGTATTTAATATCCAGTGTTAATCTTTAGAAACAGGACAGTCTGATTTGATTGTTTCTTTCCTCTTTCACTCCTGCACTGGTTGAGATTATCAAAATTGTTTCTAGCGCTACAGTTCCACAGAAAACAGTTCCTTCCTTCCTTCCTTCCTCCCTCCTTCCTTCCTTCCTTCCCTCTCTATCAATTTGTTGAAAGAAAATTAATAAAAATATTTCAGAAGTAGGGGTGCCTGGGTGGCTCAGTCGTTAAGCGTCTACCTTCGGCTCAGGTCATGATCCCAGGGTCCTGGGATCAAGCCCCACATCGGGCCCCCTGCTCGGTGGGAAGCCTGCTTCTCCCTCTCCCACTCCCCCTGCTAGTGTTCCTTCTCGCTGTGTCTCTCTCTGTCAAATAAATAAATAAAATCTTAAAAAAAAAAAATCATGTAAAAATATTTCAGAAGTAGCCAAACTGCTTAGGCTGACAGTAGGTCATATATACCAATGCATAGATTAGATACTGGTTTCTCTTTAACTTTTCAGATTATTCCTTTTTCTCCTACCAATGACATTTAGGTTTGTCAGTGTCCCTGTGAGCACCTCTGGCACACACATAGCTAAAGGAGTTTGTAAGTTTCTGGCATAAGTTATTAGACTAACCTAATTCCTGTCTTTTGACCTCTGGTATGTGTGATTAGTTTTTGATGGTTCTGGAAAGCTATAGGGAGGCTGACTTCAATTAAATATAAGAAGGCACTTTTTTTTTTTTTTTTTAAGAGAAGGGGAGAGAGGGAGTCCTTAAGTGGGGAGGGGCAGAGGAAGAGAGAGAGAGAGAGAGAGAAAAGCTCAAGCAGGCTCCACACTGCAGGGCTCAATCTCACGACCCTGAGCCAAAATCAAGAGTCAACACTTAACTGACTGAGCCCCCACCAGGCACCCCAGGATGGCACTTTCTAATAAATAGCACTAACTGGGCTTCTATAACACATAGGTGGGTTCATTAGCTTTGAAGATGTTCAAACAAAAGCTGGATAGATGATCACTAGTTGGGATTGTTTTGGGTAGGGAGCAAGAAGAGAACTCCCAAATTCCTTCCAACTTTAAGATTCTACTACTTGATCAGTGATGTCTAGTTTTCCCGCTACCGTTAGTTCTTTGCAGCATCCTGGTTATGGTCATAAAATAGAAGCAGATTGCTTTGGGGCAACTGCACATGGTCTAAGGAAGTAATTTAGGCAAAGGTGGTTACAGAGCAAATCCCTCCTCTGTCTTGCAATTCATGCATCTCCAAACAGTGAGGCCATAGTCCTAGGCATCTTGTTGGCAGTTCCCCAACCTCCAGCCTCTGAGATGGTGCTATCTGCTAAAATATCCAATTACATTTTCTCAAGTGTTGCTCTATTGTGGATGACTTAGGCAAGTGAACCTAACCTCCAGGGTCATTTGGGGAAGCTATCTAGAGGACTTATGTAGGATTCACTTTACTGTCCACATTTAGCCACTCATTTGAAAGTATTAGGTAATTCTTACAACTTTTTTTCCTTTCTTAATTACCAGGCACAATCATCTTTGCTTCATGGTTCTGCACTTTTTCATCTTCAAGATACTGAGAATTTCCAAGGCAGAATACAGTAGTCCTCTGTCTAGTCCTTATTCTTTCATGAGGTGGATTTTGTCTCTCTGACATTAAATTGCATTCTACATGACATAATAGCCCACCATTCTGCACAGAAAAAGGATAACCCTATTTTCCAAGTCATCACCTTTCTGAAGGTAGCACCATCTCTCATCCTTTGGCTTCTAGTTACAGTTGGAACCTGCTTTGCCACCACATGACTGCACTTGAATTTCCTTCAGCTAAAACTTAGTATCCTCTGTCTCAATATACACAATATTTAAAAAATCTAATGAAGCCTGATTTATTTACTTTTTAGGCAAATCACCCTCTGAGTCACTGGTTCCCAAGCGGGTTGGTCTTATTCACATATCCCAAGTCATCTCAGAAGTTGATGGTAACAGAATGACTTTGAGCAAAGAAGGAGCACAAGATTTCTTCCCTCTTCAGCAGAAGATCTTGGTCTGCTCTTTGCTGCTCTTGACCCGGCAGCTGAAAATCAAAGAGGTCACTCTGGGGAAGGTGAGTTGAGAATCTCAGCAGATGGAACTGTGGTGGAGATGAGACTGCTTTGCAGAGCAGATACTGTCCAAAGGGCCTGTTATTATGCTCCAGCTGATAGGAACTAAAAGTGGGTTTTTATTTTTATTTATTTATTTAAAGATTTTATTTACTTATTTGACAGAGAGAGACAGCGAGAGAGGGAACACAGCAGGGGGAGTGGGAGAGGGAGAAGCAGGCTTCCCGCCGAGCAGGGAGCCCGATACAGGGCTCGATCCCAGGACTCTGGGATCATGACCTGAGCCAAAGGCAGATGCTTACCAACTGAGCCACCCAGGCGCCCCTAAAAGTGGGTTTTTAACAGTAAGAATAAATACTGGTCCCATATAAAAGGCAACTGATTTTATTTCCCTTAGGTTGTGGTTGGGAATTTCCCATTCATCTCCTCCCCTTCGTTTCTCCCTCTCCCTAAGAAATATATAAAGCTCCTCTCCTGCCTTACAGTAGAGGTTTTGACAATATCTACAGAATGCCTGTTCAAGGATTTTATTGAAAAGAGGGAAAATTGTGGTATTTAGATAACTTTTACAAATGCAAAAATTCACATTTTTAAAAAAGACTATAAGGTGACAAGAGATAGAACTTTTAAACAACTTTTGTGTTCTCCCTTGTTCCTCCCAGTTATACGAAGCCTATAGTAACGTCTGTCGCAAACAGCAGGTGGCAGCTGTGGACCAGTCAGAGTGTTTGTCACTTTCAGGGCTCCTGGAGGCCAGGGGCATTTTAGGATTAAAGAAAAACAAGGAAACCCGTTTCACAAAGGTACAATTAACTGTTTCTTTGTGATAATGCTTTTAATTGTCCTGTTTTGGAGAGCTTATCTTTTCTTGCTAAAGTAAAGATTTAAATATGACCACAGTTAGGTAAACAATTTGTTTTTTGTTAGGTAGAGTTTAAGATCTGTGAGGATGGGACTGTGGTATGAATGAGGTATTTTCTGCAGGCCATTGAAAAAGCAGTGTTTAACTTGCTTGCCTCTTGGGACAGAAGTTCAACATGGTAGAAGTTTGTAATAAAAACTTGGCTTTTGTGAGTTCTCCACATGAAAAGTCCTTTTCTCTTCTTTCCAGGTGTCTTTGAAGATTGAAGAGAAGGAAGTAGAGCATGCTCTAAAAGACAAAGCTTTAATTGGAAATATCTTAGCTACTGGATTGCCTTAAATTCTTTTCTTTTATACTAATATGCTACCCGAAAGTATCCAGCTGGCGTTTAGAGAGCTCTGGAGTCTTCATTTTAGTACTTTATCCATTCAGGTCTGAAAACAAATATGACTTTTTTTTTTTTTTTTTTGATTTTATCTTAAGTAATCTACACCCAACATGGGGCTCGAACAAAAGTTGCATGCTCTTTTGACTGAGCCAGCCAGGTGCCCCTAAATATGACCTTTTTTAATGTGAAACTGATAAATTTTAATCTATAGATTGATGAATATTAACACAATAATAATTTTGGGTCTTATTTTTATGCATTAAAAATCACCAAGTAGACTATTTTAATTATATCCACTACCTCCACCTCTTGTGTCTCTAACCAGTATGCTTGTATTACAGTATACAGGATTTATATGGTGGAATGTGCCTGTATTTACCTCTTAGTTTCTTCAAATATTGGTGTATTTTAAAGAACTTTGGGGCTAGAGTAAGAAGAATGAAAAACGATGTTCCAGGAAAATAAGCACGTCTACGTGGAGATCTGGAGACACTTTGATCAAAGAATTTCTTTCTTTTTGGGGTATACTGTGTTCACTTTGCACATACTTCCACATTGTGACATTTTAAAGACTCATTAAGTTTCTTGGGCACTCCCAAGGTTGTGGGGGTGGTAAAAGGAATGTAACTGTACGGATTGTGAATATATTTATTTCCTAGTTGCATTCTTTGTCTTTTTAAGCACGCACATTTCAAGAGAGCTCAAACTTTCAGCAAACAATGTGAATATTTCACCCCAAACTGTCCCACAGTCTTAGCTGCCCGCAGATGAAGCCACTTGTTTCCAGATGCCTTCATTTGGGGTTGGATTTTCATCTAAAACCTCAGATTTTTCCAGTCTTATTAGATAAATTAATCCATATGGCTACTCAAGTCTCCCCTTTTCTGGGTTTGGTTTCCAGTGGCATTCAGTGGTAATTTGTGGCGGGGACACCAGAGGGCACCATTATAACACTGACTGCCTTGAAAATTCAGGCCGTGGGGCTGGGGTAGTTTTGAGGGATGGGGGAGAAAACTTAAGTTTGATCCTTTGGGGAGATGGCTTTACTTATATAACTCAGGCAGATGCTTGGAATGCAAACCATGTGCGATAGGAATGGTCTGAGAGCCAGTGACCAAGTCTGTGCTGCTCCCTGAGCTCTTTGGCCTCTCTGACATGACTTGAGTTTAGGAACTTGATATTGTACAAATGATCTGTCGGCCGCTGTTTCATTCATGCTGCCCACTGTATCCTTGCAATGTGATCTGGGCCGCAGCAGATGGTATGGCCTAGAAGGACACACACAGAGAGAGCCCTCTGAAATGAACACCACCCGCCAGTGGGTGTGGCAGAGCAGTCTGCAGAGGAGTCTGAGTCTGAATGTCATTCTTGCCCTCTCACCTTGACTAGAGCACTCACTCCTTCTGAGGGTCACTTGTGAGTGGAAAACACAGTTCCATACCTAGGAGCCCGAGAGTGTCTGGGGCTACAAGGGTTAACAAGCATAATTGCAAAGACTGTCCGAAGGCTGACGGAAAGCAGAGACTGAATGGGATTGAGAACAGATGCGGGGCTTGATTTAAATTACATTTTATTGGATGCTGCAGCCTTAAGAGACGTGACTGCTTTACAGTTTCTTTCCACACTGTGGGCAGCTGCTGTCTCTTCTGTGTCCACAGTAGGATCCTGCCCAGAAAGGAGCGGCCTCCCCACCTCATTGTGTTTGAGGCTTGGCGCCTTCCTCTTAACTGTAGGGCTTGAGTCAGGAACATGGCTTAACTCGCAGTGGGGCTGCTATGTATCCTCCGTGGCTCGGAGCCAAGATCACATTTGCAGATTCAAAAGGGCCAAATTTCTTTCCCCTCTACCTCTTCTCCCCCTTTCCCCTGGTATTTGGAAATAGGGTTTTCTCTGTCCTGGGTTGTTAGTTCCCTTTCCTTCAGTTCTCCCCCACTGTCAATTTCTAGGTCATTTCTGCTCTTAAGACTTCAGCAATTGGAGCAGGGTTGGTTCTGTCAGTGATGCGTGAAGCAGACTTAGAGTCCCTGCTTGGCTTCCGCTGCCCTTGTGGGAGCAAAAGCTGATGTATGTTTGTCAGTGAAGTCTTAAGTGTAATTCAGATACCCAGGGAGCAGACTGAGAAGAGGAAGAAAAGTCCTTTTCTTGCTGGCTTTTCTCACTGAAGCTCAGAGCTATGGGAAGGTAGTGGGATTTCTAGAGGGATGGGCTGGGCTTGTGGTTACTAGTTTCTGCCAGGATCGTAGCCTGTTTCACATGGAGTAGAGGCGAAGATGCTGACCCACATTCTTCCTCTTGAAGGTGGTAGGGTGTGTGTCTATATCCTGATCTATTTTTCTTCAAAGAAGCAGATGAAGCTTCCATAGAATGTTGGTACTGCCATGGAAAGAACATAGACCAATAAAATTTTGGTGTGAATTTCAACCCCAGAGCTGCCACTGACATTTCTGGCTCAGTGAAGACTTGCCTGTGGCTAGATAACTAACTGGGAAGAGTGTGTGAGGTCCAGGCTTCCCAGAGATCAAAAATGTTGGCAGAGCTCTGTTTGCCACCCCCCACCCCACCCATTCCATTGCTCCCTGCCTTTATTAAGTGCCTTTTAAGATCTACCAATGAGGGGCGCCTGGGTGGCTCAGTCGTTTGGCGTCTGCCTTCGGCTCAGGTCATGATCCCAGGGTCCTGGGATCGAGCCCTGCATCGGGCTCCCTGCTCCGTGGGAAGCCTGCTTCTCCCTCTCCCACTCCCCCTGCTTGTGTTCCCTCTCCCTGTGTCTCTCTGTCAAATAAATAAAATCTTAAAAAAAAAAAATCTACCAATGAGACCTGGAAGGGAGGATGGAGGAGATATATCTTGGGGATTTTCAAAAATATCTATTGAGAGGTGTTGCCTTGACTACCGACGGAGACTGAAAGAAAGAGCCAAGTTTGAGATGTTACTTACATTTGTGTCTGTCCCCAGCACTTAGGACAGTGTCCGGTACCTGGTAGGTATTCAGTAAACGATTGTTGAATGAACGGACAAATGAACCGAGGAAGGCGCTGCTTTCCCCTCCATCTCCGGGCCAGTTCTCTTCGGGAGGTACACGTTGCTGGTGTTTCCGCATGGAGGTGGAGCGGGCCCCTGTAAAGGAAGGGTGCTCCATCCTACAAGATGTGTCTTGACACATTTTGGAGCGTTTATTGGCCTCACAGATGCGTACCCATCGCTCCTTCTGATGTAGTGGCATTTTGCTTGAGGCAACTTCCGTGTTGCTCCCAGGCAGCCTTGGGTTTGGGGACAGAGTCCTAGTCCTACCTCTGGGCTGGGAAGATGGGGGCCTGTCTGGAGGTTCCTAGTGTCCCTAGAGATTGGCCAGAAGCTGTACCTCTCAGAAAGGGATCGGGGAGGAACACACCTTTGGTGTCCCACTTTTTAACTCTTGAGGAAAGTTGTGATCTCGGGTTCCTCCTGAAAATGTAAGGTGCCTTCTAATACATTCTCTTGTAAAGCTGCAAACAGCACAGGTCTCCCTCTTCTCGGAAGTGCATTCTGTAGGGGGAGAAGGTGTGCCCTCTGGCCTCCCTTGATTTTCAACCCCAGCCCCAAGGCACTGGCAGTAGAAGCTAATTGGGTGCAAGAGGCCTGGGTAGAGGCTGTCTGAAGACTGGCGAAAGGAGAGAGCCAGCTCCTTTTTAAAAAAGCTCTAATTGAGTTCTGAATCAGCCTCCGTCTCTTTGATCCCTCCTCTGTTTCCCACACTGCCTGAAAGAGCTAGATCAGCACTTTATAACAAGGGTGCGCCTGCTCCCCGCACCGCCCCCCTCTCCCGACGCTCCGCTGCCGCCATCCACTGCTTGTCTCCTTCAGTTAAGATAATGAAGATGCTGAGAGATAAAATGTGTATTTAATAAGGGTGGGGGTAGGGAGGCGGAAAGGGGCAGCCAGGGCCTTCCCTAGTTTGGGGCCTAGCCAAGACTCAGGCTGAAAGCAAAGCTGGAGTAAGACTTGGCCCCAGGGTGTGGGGGTTTCTGGGCCTCAATCCAGCTGACTTCACTGCCTGCTGTTTGCCCTAAATTCCCCCACCTCCACCCTCTCACCCCCACACTCCTTCCTTTCCTCTCTCCTTGCTCCCGATGGGGAAAGGGAATCTTGCTTCTACTTTATTTTCAGCTGGTGACTTGGCCTTTGGTGCGGTGCCCCCCACCCCCACCCCCGAGTCAGCTGCAAGGTCGGGCTAGGGCAGCCCCCTCTAGCCTAGGCCTGTAGAAGCCATGGGTTCACGGTGGGGGGTGAAAAAAAGCTAGAGTTAATGAAGACCAGCTGCTAGTCTGGGTTCTGCCTGCAGTTAGCTGGAGGCCAGCCTTTGGTGGTGGTTGGAGGTACTGGGGTGCGTGACCTCCATCCCTGGGCACCAGGATATCCTGTGGCAGCTGAGGCTTGTGCTCCTCTCTGAGCTCGGTTTTATCCTTAGTTTGTAAGAGAGTAGTCTGTTTCCCTGTTGCCCTACTCCTCCCCTCTCCAAATAACACTCGGCCCTTATTGGGCTTTATAACTGTAGTGGCGGCCCAGCTGAGATCTGAGGCTCTCCAAGTTCTTTTGTAAACATTCATTAACTGCCTGGGAAGAACCAAGAGCCCTGGTTAACAGCTGGGAGGGAACTGAGGCAAGTTAGGGAGAAAGGCTTGACCTGAGCTCACCCCATGGACTCCACCCTGGGGCCTCCATCCTTCTATCTGGCTCCTTTCCTCAGTTCTTCCTGAAAGACAGAGAAAGGGGTAGATGCAACACGGCTGCCCTCTCCCCTTCTAGAAAGAGGTAGATGCAACACCACTGCCCTCTCCCCTTCTAGGCCATGCTTTCTTCCTGCCCTCAAATCAGTCTCTGACTTCTCCCGGCCCTTCACCCCATGACACTTTCCCTGCTCTGCTGCTGGAGATCTGTGCAACTCTCCTTGCAAAATATTCTCACTACAGCCCTCTGCAGACCTCCCATCCATCTTTCCCTGGCTCACCAGACCCAAACCCCAGTGCCTCCTTTTGAGCTGCTGAGAAGATCGTCTATCCTAAAC